GCAAAATTTGGTGAACGTGCACCGGATGAGAATAGCCACAAGACTCGCCTGCACTATTCTCACTCCGGGTGAGAATAGAGGTGGCCTTAAAGTACATGCACTGTCATTAAGGCACCTAGTTTCGTCTCAAATACAAATACTTTAGGTACTGCACACTAAAAATTTATATTTTTACAATTCAGTAGGCCTATTTCTTTTAAATGGTCAGTCTAGCCATCATATTTAGAATAAGTACGGCTAGACTGCCAGTCTAGTCATACTTAAACAGATAAGGAGGTAATGTATCCACACCCTTTTTTGTCATTTGTTTGGACTTGGAATACATTCCTGATAGAATAGCTTTTTGGACATCTCTTCCTTTTACAAATGATCTGATACCAACACACGAGTATATGGCTGCGCCTTTGACGAACCATTATCATGAAAGTCCTGTAACAAAATTCTATGACTAGATCTATGCCCCCCATACAAACCAGTTTAGAGGCATTGGCCAGGGGACTCATTGACCAGCCCTGCCCCCATTACAGCCACACTACTAAAAGCCATAGAGCCTACATTTCATTTCTAACAATAGGGGCTACTAAAACAAAGGGCTGGTTCATTAATGGCTCTCTCTTTATTAATGCGTACTCTAAACGAACCAACCACTAACCATGCATATCCCAAACGAACCAGTACCAGGAAAACCCCCCTCTCTCTCAGAAGCACAGATGAATGTTTATAGAGTGTAACAACAGTTATTGAGTAGGCTATGCTATGGTTACACATCCAGGTCAAACGGAAGTGCTATTTTTACTCTCCATGACCTTAAAAACCTCTTGGGTTGTAACCGTGCATAGTACTGTATAAGTTGTAACCTTATTATTAAATAGGCTGTGAAAGATGATGGAAAGATTCAACAACTTACTACCTCGATTCGCAACTTTGATGAAGCACTGTGATCAAACAAAGACTGCAAGCCGACGACATAAAACGGAAGAAGGATGACGGTCACACTTTTGCGAATTGTTTAAAACACGGAAAAGTTCTTGAAGTTCACCACAGAAACGAAACTAGCGAAGGGTGGTTCATATTAAAATTATTTGATCACGGTTCGTTTGGGGTCAAACCACTCTTGACCTTGATCAAGATCAAGACCTAGAATCTAGATTCTAGTATTTTATTTTACCATATTTCACACATATAACAAGCAGAGTATGGAGTCTTAAAATCTGCAACCAAATTTGAGAAAAAAAGTGTTGTTTCCATGGATACGTCGCCCATATTGGATTTTGTTGAAATGTCTTACGTAATGAATTCCGCGCTTAGTTATCGTTCGAGGAAAATGATAGCTTTTTTGCATGTATGTTAACAAACTAAATACTCTCTGAACAAACATAAGATCTAAAAAAAATTCTGTTAATTTTTTCCTAAACGTAGAGTCTAGATCTAGAATCTAGTATTAGAACATTTTTAATGAATTTTTTCCCGAGGTAGTATTCAAGTTTGCAAAAAATCCGTGAAAATTATCCACACTCCAGACATCACAAACAAAAATCTATTCCATCAAAAATTCAACTGACGATTTTTTTAAATATCTCCTCTTCATTCTGTGAAAATGTCACGATGGGATAAAAAATTGTTGAGTTATTTTGTAAAAAGTAGATC